AAAATTATTTTTTAAGTACACAAAAACTCTCATTCAAAAGATATATATTTGTTTTAAGTTTTCAAAATATTCATATGGTTCTAGACATCTTCCAATTTCAAAACAAAAAAATCGATACACTCTAACCTTCATTGACAGACATACTCGATGGAAGCATACCACCCACTCAGAGACATTTAATTAGTTTTTGTAGGAACTATGTATATTTATTTGAAATTATGTATTAAATCAACAGAAGTAACTTAAAAATTAGTTAATGAATAACAAAGCTATTAGATTCCAATAAAATACCCACTTCATCTTACCATCTACAATCTTAAGTTTAACAATTACTAATAAATGTAATATTTGCGCGTTTCACTAGATGGGGAGTAAATATAGAAAAAAATTTAATAATATTTTACGGATTTAAAAAATTTAGACACGATACTCATCCGAAACCTATTCAGTAGGTCTGAAAATAACATACATCTATTTTTCACACCGGTAAAAGGACCTGCGACCGATCTATGGTTTGGATTAATATGTGATAATTTTCTGAAGTGGACCAAGGGTCACCGGGCAGATATTTGATTGGCTTGGTCCATTCCATAACCCGATAGATAGCAAAATCCGTTGGCTTAAGCAGAAGCTTTGATGGAAAGCTTGCTCGTGTATGTACGGGATCCGTCTTATTTGGGGTTCAAGGGCTGCTTGAACTTTGCTTAGTTTAATTTAAGTAATTTTATGAGAATTGTCGATGTTCTTGCTTGCTTACTACCATTATTGCTGATCGAGTTCATTCAAATAATTCAATCAGGCTTGAGCTATCTACATACATTTTATTAGCACTCTTACAGGCCTGTCGAGGTAAAAAAAATTTACTTTGTTATAAAAATTTACCATTCAGTAAATTTTGTTACCATTTCGTATTCTGAGCTCACTGTTACCCTGTAAATTTTGTTACCAGCGAAATAGGAGGTAACAAAAATATCTGCTGTTTGATTTTGTGTTGTAAGTAATGGCCCCTGAGAGACAATGCACTTAGGAGACTGATAAGCGGACGCGAGAACTTTGAACGCGATTTTCTCAAAACAGTGTTTTTCTGTTTTGTGCACACAATTAAAAAGTTGTAATTTTCGCGTTTTCTTAAGTGATACCCTTTTTTACAGCTAATAGTGTAGGCTTCTATGTGAACCTAAAAAATCACAATAACAAATGTTTTTATATTAACTTTTATCGATAAATTTACTTAAAATTTCTCCAGAAAAAGGCAAAATTTTTTATAAACAGCCATAAAATAAATAATTTTATATATTTCTTTGATTATCTTAGGTTCACATAAAAGAGCAACTCCTAAGCTACAAATAAAGTATTCGTTTTTATGTTTCATATGAAAACTACGATCTCTATCGTGTTCACAAAATAAACTCTTCGAGCAGGAAGTGCCACAAACAAATACGATTTGTTATTTCTTAACAGTATCAAATAAAGTGAAAGTAAATTTTTCTTGCAAGATTTGTGTTCTATAACCTATTTCAAAAGTACTTGAAACATTTCATACGTAAGGCAGCCTAAAACACTGTGCCGAATTTCATGCAATTTTCAGCGTTCTAAGCCAGGTTCCCCCCTTAACAGGAAAACTATAGTTCTACCGGAAGTGGATCAGAAACTGACATATTCTAAAAAAAAAAAGATCTGAAGACTGTACAAGCCAATCTAACAATACAATTTTGTTATCTCTAAACACGCATCGTAGTCGCTGATTTGTGACAGGGAGCATTGTCTTGCTGAAAATGAACCCCGTCTATATTAGTATCGCCGAAAATGCGCGTTAACGAAAGCAGATTTACAGCTTTTAATACATTTATGTACTCTTGACTGTCCATGCGACGCTCGCAAACGAACATTTCGCCGACACCATCCGCAGCCATGCAGCCCCAGATCATAATGCTGTCTCTTCCATGCTTAACAGTGGGTACCACGAAATCTGGATGATATTCTTCCCCAACCCGTCGCCTCACGAACGTCACAACGTAGAAAAGAAAAAAAAATGTTTTCATAAGATTTTTATTATGTCTTCAAAATTTCTCTAGGAAAAGGAGCTATGGTTGTTAATACTTTAAAACGATCTTAGCTAAGCTTACATTGAAGTTTGATTCATCAGACCAGAGAACATTCGACCAATCTTCTTCCGTAAAATTTTGGTATCGGCGAGCCCATTGCAAACGATCTTTCCTATTATTTTCTGAGAGATACGGCTTCTTTCGGGCTTAACATCCTTTTAAACCTGCTTTCAGAAGTATTTTTCTGGCTGTTCGAGCACTAACTGGCTTACTAAATTCATCCGAAACGGCAGCTGCAAGGGCAGCATAAGATTTTTTGCGATCCTTGAGAGACTCGCGTATAACTATTTGGTTTTCTCGCCTTCTTCTACTTTTTTTATGGGATCTCGTCTCCACAAACCGATTGATAGCGCATTTAGCCGCGCATAGCGAACATCCCACCAAATTGGCAATCTCAACCTGAGACTTACCTTCTTCACTTTGAACTTGAATTCTAATTCTATCATCGTAACTAATTTCACTTTTTTTAGGCATTTCGGTAAATATGAACTGTTTTTATAAGATTGGTAACATTCCACTAAATATAATTTACACTTTCACTTTCAAATTTTGAATGCGAAAATATTCTATGAATTTCTTAAAAATAACAATTTTTAGGTTTAGCTTACCCAGAGTGCTATGACTTTTAATATTACGAAATTTATTCGTTTAATTAACAGTTGAACATCCCAGTAAGAAATTTACAAAAAGAAGTGGTAACGTTGAGAAAACTTGTATTTTAGTGGGGTGCCTAATACTTTTGGCCGAGGCTGTATTCGAAAAAATTTTAATATGGCTTGGCTTACTTCAAATTCCGTTCTTACGTGGCTTTTTGCTTAGATTACCAGTGTTTACGCGAGGGAACTGAAACGTGGTAAGGATATCAAATAGTATAAAGGCTAATTCACCATGCCCCAATCTTGGAAAATACCGATGAAAAGAGAATCGACACCCCCACCTCTTCCCAAATTTTAAAGCACGAATAGGGCATTCCTTTACGGAGCAATGTTTGAATTAGTTATCTTTGCAAAACTTAAACAGCTATGTAAATTGACTTTAAACAACACTAAAAGCACCGTTAGGATCGGGTAAGACTTCTCGAGCCGTTCGATACCAAACGAAGTCTCAGACAAGGTGATTCCTTATATTGTGAATTTTTAATTTATTGCTAGGGAAAATAGTACGAACTGCAGAGCGGAATGCAGGAGGTACAATCTTCTATCAGAGTGTACTGCTGGTGGCGTTGACCGATGATATTGACATTATTGGACTAAAAATAGCGCGCTTTGAGCTCTGCTTTCTCCAGATCGGATAAGAAAGCGAAGGATATGAGTCTGGTAGTGAACGAGGGTACGACAAAATATCTCCTGTCAACACACAAACAGTCATCGCATTTGTGACTCGGCTTGCACGTCACTGCTGACAGTCATAACTGTGAGGTCTAGATAACTTCGTCAACCTTGGTACCAGTATTATAACCAAACAATAATATCAGCCTTGAAAGTCAACGCAGAATCACTCTAGCCAACAGGTGATAGTCCGTACTTAACAGGCAAATCAAAATTAAAGTCTTTTTTAACAAAGCTAGACCAAACTCTACAAGTCTCTTATCGTTCTGCTATATGGTGCGGATTCATGGACAATGACAACATTTGATGAGCACGCGTTTGGAGTTTTCGAGATAAAAGTTTTGGGTAAGATTAATGGTTCTCGAACGGCGAATACCGTAGCCGATGGAGTGATGAGCTGTATGAGATATACGGCGATATTGACATAAATTAGCGAATGAAGAAACAGCGGCTTCGCTGGCTTGGTCATGTGGTCCGAAAAGTTGGAAGCCTCATAGCCCAGAATACCATTTTTGGATGGATTTTAAGCGGACCTGTAGCACAGCCGATTACTTCATTCAGTATTCAAGTAATCGAGACCATGGCTGACCCCTTATGACACTTTTCGTGAGTACCCCTATCGGAATACCACTTACCGGAGAAATGATGGTCGAGATGTGGTAAAACTCCCCTTCAAAAGCCCGATAGCAAAACCACTAAAGTCCGAGTGGTATGCAACGCGTCTAAACTCTCTCACTCAGGTCTTTCCCTAAACGACGTACTGCATACAGGCCCCATACTGCAAAATGATCTTATGCTCGTAATAATCAGGTGGCGGTTATATAAGTATGTTTTTAACGGCGATAATGAAAAAATGTATCGCCAGATATATGTCCACAAGGAAGATCAAGACTTCCAACGGATTTTTTTTAGTAAATCCCCAAGCAGCCCAGTAGAAGACTACAAATTGAAAACAGTAACGTTTGGTGTGAACTGTGCACCATACCTAGCCATAAGAACACTCCATCAGCTGGCTGAAGACTCCCCGGATTCCCGCTCAGGAAAATCACAGCAAGTCACAGATCACTGTTAAACGAAATATCCGAAGCCCATCTTCTAGCCCAATTTCATGATACGAGCACTATAAAAACTCTCGGAATTAGATGGTATGCATTGACAGATACATTCTCATATAGTATTGACCCCCTTCCTGACACAAACACTGCAACAAAAAGGCAAATATTGTCAGCAGTCGCAAAGCCTTTTGATCCGGCAGGATGGCTATCGCTTATAATGATAACCGCCAAAACCCTACTTTAACAGATCTGCATGGAAGGAACAGACTGGGACGAAACAGTCAAGCCACTCTCGCTTCTCAAATAGAACTCGTTTCGGAATATTCTCGTGGCTATCACCGAAATAAGGACTCCACGTTGGGTAGAATTCTTCCCGGAAGGAGTTATCCAAATACATGGATTTTCTGATGCCTCCGAAAAGGCGTACTGCGCGTGACTTACGAGTCCGAGGGTTTTCCGTTATAAAAGAAACAAACTTATTTTTTTACGTCTTCACTCTCACTTTATTCATCTTAGACTACTTAATTTTTAACTATTTATAATATTTATTATTTTAGAGGTTTTCAGCTGACGTCTGTTGAAAAAGCTTATTCGTCAATTTTTTATAAAAAAAATGAAACAGTTAATGCTGTTGCGAAATATAAAAATTATTCTGCACCATTGTGAAGCATATAGGTATGCAGTTTATTGACTTTAGGAAATTGATATTGTTTTTGATTAAAGAAAAGTTATTGCGAAATATTGTTAAATTAAACGTAAGCAGTTTATTGACTTGTCTACTGTTGCCAATTAATGGGAAGTGAATGTGATGAGTTATTGGAATGGGTGGTTGACGTAACTCCTCCCCCATTTGATTTAAAACTCTCCTGAGTTTTGATGAAAATTTCTGTTTTGTTATTTCTTCTTTTTTTACATATGTATAATATGGCAATTGCACTCAAGGTTAACAGGCTGACTGTCAAAGCTATGCTATTAAAAGTGTAGTTGAGTTTTTTCTGAAATCTTATTTCTTAAATTTTTTTAATATTTTCGATCTGGTTGGACACTATTTCATCAAATGTTGGCTGAGATGTAATATTATTTAGATTAAAATTATTGTTTACTAAAAAATGGTGTTCAAACTTATCGTCAGAGTTATGATAAGTGTATCCGTTTATTTCTAGTTTACAATCGTTAAATGTTATTAGTTTATTCCCTTTTAAATTGAACTGGTTGTTATTACAACTACTATTAACTATGGAGTTTACATGGTTTTTTATAACTATTGTATTAAGCCCGGTTTTATTTCTATGGTTTCCATTTGTTTATTATATCTCTTTAAGAAATTATTTACAAAGATACAGAAGTTAGATTTTTTTAAAAAGCTTCTTCTTACTTGGTTATTAAAATAATGCATTGTATTGTTTATGTTAAAAATTTCTCTGTTTTCAAAAATAAGTTCTTCTTGGTTTTCATTAGGCATAGCTACAAAAAATGATTTTTTACTTTTCGTATATCTTTAGGTATTTGAATTACAAAAATTATTTTATTTTCTTTGTATTGAGCTGTGCTTAGTTTAATATTCTTCATTTTATAAAGATCAATATTGTAACGAACGATTTCTTCACTTCTTAATACATTATTATTCATAGTGTTTGTTTTTGCGGCAACAAAATTATTCTATATGTGCTCGACATTATCCAACAGGATTTTTATTTTTAGCAATATATCCAAATATAGGAGCTTATTTTCTATTTCTTCGTTATTTTTTTATATGTGATTTAATGTTGAGTAAATCTGTGTTCTATCGCTTTCTTTTGCGTTTTTTAGCTTCGAAATTGTATTATTAAATGCGTTATTTATTTCAATATTTTTTTTTAGGCCTTCTATTACTGCATGATTGTTGTCATCGATTGTTGTAAATGTCGTTCTATTTCTGCTCTGTCAAAGTCGTCCATTGTACCGTATAACCATTTCATTCCTCTTCCTATAAAGTTTATTAGTCCTCTCGGGTGTCTAGTCGGGATGCTAGTTTGAAGTTTTGCTTTTGTTTTTTTCTAGTTCTAAATTTAGAAAGTGTTTGTCATTGGTATTTGATATAATTCTTGTGTTTTCCTCTAGTCCTTCTATGACATGTTGAATTTCTTTAGGGTCGATGATGTGTAGAATAGTATTGTAGCTGTATGTTATGTCAACGTCTTCTAATGCAATTTCAGCGAAACCATTGGGGCTATTAATGTCTTCGATTATTAATTTGGTGCTGCTCATAGCAAAAAGCATTAAAATTATTGTCATTTGCAGTGTTGGATGTACCTGAAAATTTTAGAGTTCTTTTTATGTTTGTTGGATGAATATTATATAGTATCATTTTTCTGTATCTAGGTTCTTGCTTATGTCTAACAGCTTTATAATTTTTTACGTACCCTTCCTGATGTGTATTCTAATATTCTTCTCTGGTTAGGTTTAACTTTGTAATTTGCTTTTCTTTTGTAGACTTTATCAAATTCTAAATCTTGGTTCTGTCGACTTTTCCATTTGTTATATCTATAGATCTTGCTTTAATTACGGAATGTATAAATTTGTTGTACCATTCAGTACATTTATATACTTTTCCTTGGACTGTTAAATCTGACCTTCAAATTTCTAACATTCAAAATCTTTCTCCTAAGGTGTTGTGAAATCTTTCGATATCTGCATTTCCCTTGTGGGAATTCGATGTTGTGAAATGGAGTTCAACTTCTTCTTGTCTAAAAAAATCTTTCACATTTGTTGAATTAAATCCGTTATCGGCGACAATTCTTTTTGGCTTTGGGTAGACAGAGAGATACATGCGAAGTTTCTCTATAAGTGTTATGCTGTTTCTATCTTCTAGGTAAATAGCTGTAGCTTGTGTCGAGAATTTGTCTGTTATAGTGAGAAAACTATGTTTTTTAATAACATAGGTGTCTATATGTATTATTTCATTTATGTCTGTGGGTGTTTCTGTTATAGAGTATTTTGGTTTATATGGTTTTCTGTCATATTTGCCTCTACAGCAGATTTCGCAGTTGTTTATAAATTTTTGGATAAGAGTTTTAAGATTTTTGAAATATATTGTGTTTTTAAATTTTTTCATTTATTCCAGCATGGGCCGTTGATTCTTTGTAGTATTTTTGAATATATCTGAAGGCTTCCTCTTCATTTCTCATGTCTTTAGCATGACATGAACATCTATAAAATTTTACACTAGTATTGAAAAACTCTATTAGCTTTTGTTGCACTTTATTGTAGTCGGAATCTAAGATACCTGAATATATTCCTACTTTTCCTGTTTTTATAAATCTCCTAAAGATATCTGACATGAATCCACTTCTAATGTCGTCTAGACTTATAAAAATTTTTCTTTTGTTATCAACTATTTTAATTTCCTCTGTCTTACTTTCTGTTAAGATGATTTGAGTATGGAAACGATTTACGACGGAATCTAGTATAGGAATTTTCTCTGTCCATATACGTAAGGTCTAAAATAATTCACGCCCCAAACGATGGCCAACAGCTCCTCCTCTGTAGTGGAATATTATCTTTCATGTTCATTTAAAGCTCTACTTGCGTAGCTGATGGGATGGTTGTCCTGCATAAGTATAGCTCCAATTGCGAATTCGCTGGCATCGGTTGCTAGTTAAAATTTTTTCTTAAAATCGGAGTATTTTAGTATTGGTGTGTCGATCAGTAGTCTTTTAAGCTTTTAAAATGCATCCGTATACAGGGGGTCATTTTTATTTATATTTGTATTTTTTTTTTAAATATTGTTAAACCGTGGGCAATTTTAGCATAATCTTTTTTGAATTTTCTATAATAGCCGGTTGCACCAAGGAATGATTTTATTTGCGTTTGAGTTTCTGAATGGTTTCGACTTTGTTTGGGTTAGGCTTAATGCCGTCAGTAGTAAGAATATGTCCTAAATATTCGGTAAATTTTGCGAAAAATTTGCACTTGTCAACTTGAATCTTAATATTATGTTTTCTAAGAGCAAATTCGTAGTATTTTATCATTGTGTTCTTGCACTGTAGTGCTAAAAAATAAAATATCATCGAGATATACAACACATATTTTGTTGATGTATTCTCTTAGAACTGCATTTATGAGCCTCTGAATTGTGGCAGGGGCATTTTTTAAGCCTTTGGCTAGATCAAGCGTAGTGAAATACTGTGCTCGACCTAATATACCTAGGATAGTGTCTATGTTTGGAATAGAAAATTTATCGCTTACAGTTATTTCATTTAAAGCTCTGTAGTCGATCACTAATCTCCATTTTTTTCTTTGAATTTTCCGACTTCTTTGGAACAATCCATAAATGAGAGTTATATGGAGATACACTTTCTTTTATTATTCCCTGTACTAGCATTTCTCGCATCTGCCTATTGATTTCCTCTTCATGAATTTGAGGATTTCTTTATATTTTTTAATATACAGTTTTGTTGGTCGTTGTTGTGATCTCATGTTGTACTTCATGAGTATGAGTCAGTAAGTTGCCCTCTTAGAAAAATAGATCAGAATTCTTCGAGATAAGCTCTGTTAAAAATGATTCTTCTTCTTTATTCATGTCCTCGCATATTAATTTTTTTAAGATATTATCTGATTGTACTTCTCAAGTTTGTATTTCTTCTGAGTTGTATGGACAGGAATCTATGATTTTAATTTTGTTCCCCTCTATTTCTGCAAAATCTTCCTCAAGGTTTATAATTGCTGAAAATGCTTTTAATATATTTTGCCCTATTAAGCCATCGAAGTTTTTCCGTTAAAATTGGTTATTTTCCAACACATACGATTGTTTTCATTAAATTCGTTTGGAAGGGGTGTGATAACTTTTTTATCAATGCGTAAGTTCCCATTTATTGTATTAAAATATATTGGTTTTTCTTATTTTGTTTTTTGAAATTGAGGTAATAATTTTTTATTAAGTAAAGACGTTGTTGACCTTGTATCGACTAAACACTTGTTTTTGTATTTCCTAAACTTATTTCAATTATCGTCAGACGAATGTTTCGGCTGGACATTGAAAATTTACTTCCTCCGTGTCATTATTTCCAACATGGTCTACTTCCATTGGAGTATGACCATTATTAGTACCAAAAGTTCTGTTTAGGTGTTGACTATATCTAGATTGTTGGGAATTGCCTGTATTAAAAAAATTTTGTCGAGATTGAGTGGATTTACTGTTTTGACGAACTGAAGAAGGACTATTGTCGTACGAGTTTTTATATAGCTGTCCTTGAGATGTCTGTTGACATGTCCTTTTCTGTCCGTTTCCGTTGTAGTCCCTTTGTTGTCAAGGGTGTACGTATTTGGAAAATTTTTTGTCATATAGTCTTAGTGTCCCTGTTTCTTCTAAAATATAGTAAGCTTCCCTAAGTGTGGATATATTCCTAATGTAAATTATGCTGGGTAAATTTGGGTGGGAGCCGTTTAGAAAAGTTTTGAGAATAATAGATTCGTTCGTAGGAGGGGAAAACTCCTGAGGTTTACTTTTATCAAACTCGTATTTAGTATTCTGATTATCTAATAAATATCTTAGATTCTTAAAATATTCGCTTACATTGTTGTTCTTCATATTTATAGCGTGATGATATAGATAGTGGTTGCTGTCCCTGATGCCGAAATTCTCCACAAGTTCTTCTTTTATTTGATTCCAGACAAGCAGATGTATATCACACAGCCGAAAGCGCCGATCTGTTGGAACGCTTCTCATCCTATTCAAGGGCGCTCAGAGTAGTAGGTCACAACCTGCCATTCGTAAACAAGGCAAAAGGTTGCCTGCCTCTTCCTCACGCTCTATGGCCCAAGACGAAATGAACCAAGCAAAAACGTTACTCATTCGGAATGCTCAGCATCAACACGACGGAAATACGATCTTCACTCTCTCAGCATCCAAGCCAATAAATAAGAAGGACCCTCTCTTAACGCTCAACCCGTTCTTAGGCAAATCAGCCCTTAGCTATAATGAGCGCCATCCGATCATCATCCCAAGCGACTCAAGACTTTGTACTCTCATTCTCGCCTTCCTACACTCGACGGTACTTCATGTCGAAGAGCAATTGATGATCCAATAAGAATACTATATCCCCCGTTTGAAGCAGAAAATAAAAACCTGCATTTTTCATTGTAAGCCCTGTATAAACAAAACACGAAGTCACATATGATGGCAGCACTACCCCCCCGAGCGCACAACCTACTCATTTCCATTTCAAACCACAGGCGTTGACTTCGCTGGACCCTCTCAGGTAAAAACGTCAACTCTCCTAACATTATCATACTCAAAGGCTTATTTTTGTGTTTTTGTATGTTTTGTCACAAAGGCCATACACCTTGGAATCTGCTCAGACTTAAGTACCGTTTCGTCGTCAGACGAGGTATACCATGCAAAATGATGTCAAACAATGGACGAACATTTATTTGAGCAAAGCGTAGTCTCAATAAGGATCTCATCGCATTTATCGGAGAGATATCTGAAGACATCAGCAGAAAATACACTGTCCATGGTCTCACCTGGCAATTTATTCCATCACTCTGGGAAGCAGCTGTGAAGAGTTTCAAAATCCACTTCACGAAAACCGCGAACAATCATAAGTTCACATTCGAGGCATTCACTACTATTCTCGTGGGTATTGAAGCGGTCTTAAACTCCCGACCGATCTCCCCAGATGATCTGAACGCTCTAACACCAGGTCATTTCCTCCGCAGAGCCCCCATACACTCAATCCCAGAACCAAGCTCGGGAAACCATTCTGGACAAATGGCAAAAGCTGAAAGTTCTACACCACCAACTCAGCAAACGATGGAAGACAGAATATTTGCAAGAATTATACAAATGATATAAATGGAAAGGACAGGAATCCAATCTCCGTAAAAGAAATCTCGTCATCATTAAAGATGATCTTCTTCCACCGAACGAATGGAAGTTAGTGGAAGTCATATACATATACTCTCTCAAATTTATACGAGTCCCTCTACACAACCATCTCAAATTTAAAACGTTTTTCGACCATTTACAATAATTACAGAATACTCGAGTGCCGCTTATGTTGCCGCCCGCATTCCCTACGATACTGTCGTGGTTTCCCGTTAATGTAAAACAAAGCTAAGTATTGTATTTTGTTATAAATAATAAGCTTACAGTATTTTTACCTCAATACAGTACGTTTGTACATATGTGCGTTGTTCGAAATAAAATCAGTGTAAGAAAGATATAAAAGAAAACGCGTTTTTAATTTAATAAAGCAAAATTAATATTTTTTATTCAACGTCAGCAGTTGAATACTTGTTAATAAATAATA